TTCAGGATTTCTACGTACATGCAGTGTGGGAGAGATAGGCAGGTGAAACACAAAATCTGTCTCTGTTTTTACATACATAGGGGAATATGTATCCATGGAAACGAGCTTTCCATTGAATTTTGGTCATTTATATTTAATGACACCATTTGTTCATCAACATATCAAGAATTAAGATGCAATAATATCATCTTACTAGTTAGTCTAAAACCAACAGCAATAATGACAACTTTATTGTCTGTATGATCTGTATGCAAAATGAGATCTCTGGTGATAAGTATACGAAACGGTAATACATAGATTTATTAGGTAATTTGAATATCTCATCTGGGACTCTGGATCTCTTCAGAGATGGCATAAAAATACCTAGAAATATATATATATAAACTACATATGATTTTGGTGCATCTACAACAAATATGGAATGATTATGCGCGTAAGCATCCTCTAATAAGAAAAAGAAACATGCTGCCACCAGGGTTTGAGCAGATTCAACACAAATTTTAAGTAGTTCGCTGATTCTGTTCTAAACAATTTAAATTTCGGCATTCCCATGTTGTATCTTTGGAAGGAAAAAAATGTATAATAATAAGGTTGTTACGAGGATACCTGAAAGTATGCACTCAGACAGTACTCCACGCATCAACCTACGCTGCGCGATGGTTGATACTCTAGTTGTACTGTCTTCGTGCATACTTTGAGGTATCCTCATAATAACCTCATATTACAATACTACTGCTGTCTCTATTTTCCAATAGACTTTACATGTAATTGGCTGCCACCATCGTATTAGAAGCAATAAAACTACATGTACACGACTTATCTTGCCAATAGTGTTCCATCTCCTCCTGTGACAACGTCTGTGTCCCTTACTAATGTAATCATGGTATTTGAAACAGTGCAAGGGCGTTGAGAATTCAGAAAATAATAAACGTCCTAAATGAGAGGGAAAAATTATATCTTGAGGCTCTCTTACTGTTAGCAAGGTTTTGGTGTCCATTCATGTTTAAGGCTCATTTGAAGGTATGAGGACATTTGCAAGAACATACAGGGAAGTCAATGTACTTTAATTATGCATGCGCTGGGGGGGGGGGGGGCGATGTTGCTATACAGAGATGAGCCATCCAACTGTAGTCTTCTTTTCACACCAGTTGATATAGAAGTAGGCATCAATATTGACATGTTCATGGTCTAGAAGTGGGTTGGATTTTTTTAATTATAAAAGCGTTGTGAAATCTTCAAAAATTCCTAGGAAAAACACCTGAATACTGTTATACAGGAGCTGACATTTTGCAGAACTGAAATCAGACTGACATATTGGTCTAGAAGTAGGTGTAGACAAAAATAATTGTGACACACACCCCTTCCCGTTGTGCTTGAAAGGACCCCCCTCCCAATGGTGCATACCCTAGATTCCTCCATCTGTTTTCTCCACTACACTATTGAAAAATAGCAGATTGCTCCAAAACTGCATTGATTAGTCACATTTTTAATGAGTAAATTATTTAATCATGTCAATCATAGAGGTAAACAACATTTTTAGAATTTGAATCAAAACTGATGATCAGTTTTATCAATATGTTTATAAATTATGCTACAGCTATCTGACTTTCGCTATATACACATGTTTCTAATTGAAAATAAGAATCTGCGTTTGATTATTAGTGTTTAAGGAGCTTAAGTTGGCTATTAAAGTTAAATGCTTCTAAGTATTATCTGATCTGTTATCAGGACGTAAGTGTCATCAAAAAATGTTAAACACAATGGCTCTTAATTCTAACGTTTGATGACAGCGTCACTTTCTCAGTGCATGCTTGTAAGATATGCCTACTTGTTACTCACAGGAAATGTGCATGCTTGTACCGTATATGTGTTGATGTTTATGAGAAACTAAACGTTGTTTTATTTTGGTTACTGTCAATTTCCATGATTTAATAATGTAAGTATCATGGGACCAACATTTTGCAGAATTCATCGTCTTAAAAAAATTCATCGCTACAAAGATTCCCATTTTTCCAGAGGCAGAAAATTCATGAACATTTGTCTCGTGAATTTTAAACGATTTATGGTCTACTACAATCACGGGAAAGACAGTCTTGTATAATTTATTCTGACTTGTCCTTTGCACACATACTACACATATTTAAAGTGTTTAATCCTAGAATAAAAAAATAACCAAAACCAGATAAAAACATAATATGATATGTATGTATCTTTAAAAAAAGGTCAATTTTTATAAAAATATAAATTGTTATTTAATTAACAGCTGTCGTCTCAGGAGACATTTGTTGCAAACTCTGATGCTTATTCCGAATTTGTACATGTCTTGCTGCAGTGCTAAATTGATTGTTATACTATAATATAATTATACATTTGCTTTCGAGGCTTGAATGTTTTTTTTATGGAAATGTATAGAACTTTTATAGTGGAAATGATCAGGATAAAACACATTCTATAGACATATGCTCATCTTCTATAGGAAAACACTAACGTCTTCACAAAAAATTTAAAATTCACGATTTTATCATTTAGATAATGTTTTCTATGCTCAATTTTACATATTCGTTGGGTTTTAATTTAGCGCATTTTCCAGTCAGCGAAATAAGCAAAATTAAAACCCAGTGAATAATCACAGTAATTAAATCAAAGTTGATTTACATGTCATTGAGATAATTCTAAACATTAAAATCAAGTTGTTAAATAGTTTTACATAATTTCAATCTCATCTCTGCCTGAAATTGATTGAAATGAAAACCTGGACATATTCTCAACACGTTTATGCAAATTGCATCCCCATCATGTATAGTCTGTGATGATAATATTTATGTTATGTAATCCATCTTTGATAGCAATGCATCCGAAAACCAATAGAATCACAATCGCCAGACCTATTTGGAGATTCCCTGGAGGACCTTAGAAAGTGATTAGTAGGTCTATATGACTTGTGCTCAGATATATGGCTCTACTTTGTGTTGCTAGGATAAGGTGGATCTCCACCAATCATGGCTTTAGTTTATATCGGCATACCATTTTATGATATCTGTGAACCCATCAGTCAATGTCTTGTTCTAGTAATTACATTATTGATGATACTTTATTCTAAATAAAGCCAATAACATGCAATAACTCTTTGATGACATTTTAACTGCATATGCTATGATGTTTTGAGTTCATTTGTCTGGGAAACTATAAGAGAGCTTTACACACTCTCTGTCCTAACTATTTCTGTTTAAGAGGACTGATAAGTGTTGGCATATATTCTTTATGAAATTCTCACTTTTTTTGCGGCCGTCACAAATAAAAAAAAATTGATAATTGTACTTTGAGGTGTTATAATAATCATTGTCAGATTAGGGATGCATAGTCATAATTATCAGGTTAGGGGTACTCCAATTATCATGCTGTAAGATAGGGATGCCTTCATAATCATAATCATCAGGTTAGGTGTACTTTAATCAGTGCTATCAGTTTAGGATGCTTTTATATTCATAGTCATCAGGGTAGGAATGCCCTAATAAATGCTCCCTGGTTGGGGATGCCTATATACTCATAGTCATCAGGTTAGGGATGCCCTAATGATTGCTCTCTGCGTGGGGATGCTTTTATATTCATAGTTTTCAGGTTAGGGATACCCTAATCATTGGTGTCAGGTTAGGGATGCCCAAATAATCATTGTTGTCAGCTTTGTCAATATATTCAAGAAACATACAATCAGAATGTGTATACTTTTTTTATTTCCAGATCTATGAATTGAAAAAACAAGAACGCAGAGTCTCGATAGGAATAACAAGTAAAATTGAAGAATCTGAAGACATTAGGAAAATAAAAAAAGTAATTTTACATTACTGTTACAAATGTGTTAACTTTGTAATGCAGTACACTTAGTATTACATTGGATTCATGTAATACAGTAACCTTAGTATTGTTACATTGTGTGCAGCAACAACAACAACAACAGTATATATACTTATTATTGTTTGCTTGTAATACAGTGAACTTAGCGTTCTTAGATTGTGTACTTGTAATACAGTTAATACACATCTGTATTGTTACATTGTGTACTTGTAATACAGCCAATACACATATGTAATGTTACATTGTGTACTTGTAATACAGTTAATACACATCTGTATTGTTACATTGTGTACTTGTAATACAGCCAATACACATCTGTAATGTTACATTGTGTACTTGTAATACAGTTAATACACATCCTTATTGTTACATTGTGTACTTGTAATACAGTTAATACACATCTGTATTGTTACATTGTGTACTTGTAATACAGTTAATACACATCTGTATTGTTACATTGTGTACTTGTAATACAGCCAATACTCATCTGTATTGTTACATTGTGTACTTGTAATACGGCCGATACATGTCTGTATTGTTACATTGTGTACTTGTAATACAGTTAATACACATCTGTATTGTTACATTGTGTACTTGAAATACAGCCAATACACATCTGTATTGTTACATTGTGTACTTGTAATGCTGTTAATACACATCTGTGTTGTTACATTGTGTACTTGTAATACGGCCGATACATGTCTGTATTGTTACATTGTGTACTTGTAATACAGCCAATACATATCTGTATTGTTACATTGTGTACTTGTAATACAGCCAATACACATCTGTATTGTTACATTGTGTACTTGTAATACCGCCGATACACATCTGTATTGTTACATTGTGTACTTGTAATACAGCCAATACATATCTGTATTGTTACATTGTGTACTTGTAATACAGCCATTACATATCTGTATTATTAACATTGCGTACTTGTAATACAGTAGACTTATAGTAAAGATGCATTGTGTATTTGTAACACCATGCATTATTATAGTAATGTTACATTCAATATCACTGTGTACACCCTATAAACATGTTTGTATTCATCACAGGTTCAAAGTTTTATCCGGGGCTGGTTATGTCGTCGAAGATGGAGAGCCATTGTACAAGATTATATCCGATCACCGCATGCAGAGAGTATGAGAAAAAGAAACAGTATTGTATTTGGTATGGTAGAGTGTGAAAAAGAATATGTTGAACAATTATCAACATTGGTATCATGCTTTCTTCGTCCTCTTAAAATGGCCGCCAGTTCAAAGAAGCCACTCATTACCCATGAGGATGTGAATTCTATTTTCCTCAATAGGTAGGTACAAATTATATTACTATTGTGTTGTACCTAGAATTTTCACCTTGACATTTACTATAACCCATATCCCTTTAGATCATGACTGATAAAGTCCAATTTATTTTTAAAATAGCCCTTGACATTTACATGTATATCTTAAGGGACGACGTCAAAAGATCGATGTCGGATAAAAAACTTATAATTACTTTAGTTTTTTTCCAAACCTCCCTACCCCCCACTGAAACTTAATTGATAAATATTGGTCATGGCGTCAGACTACATTCACCATTAAATACAAATTGATAATTGGACAGTAGTATAGAATAGCAGTTGGTTGTCGAGTGGGTGTAAAAAGATTTTACAAATGCACCTCATTTGACGCAGATTTACACTCGAACCAAACCATTTTTCTGTTTTTCCCCTTTTCGGTTATTTCTGTCCATGATTGGATAGAAAAAACAAACAAACTACAATACTCCAAGATTTTTTTGACTTCATTAAAAAATTAAATCGTTTTTGTAGGATGGAAACTTTTTGAGGTCAAAACCCCCCACCCCCAAACTAAAGGAAATAAGTTTTTTATCAGACATCGATCTTTTGACGTCGTCCCTAAGCCATAATGTCATCACTTTAAGGCGCTTGTGTGTTAATAGTTATAGTAACTACAGGAATATATATATCCTGGGTTATGAAATCAATATATTTAGGTCCTGATGAGTTAATAAACTTTTAGGTTAATATTTCAGGTGCTGCAGGGAATACATATCCTAAGCGAGAAATCATTACATTAAGGTCATGATATGTTTATAAAATTAATAATTGTAATATCTACAGGGAATAGATATCCAAACTCATATATTAAGGCCATGTGAGTTAATAAAGTTAACATTTTTAGAAACTACAGGGAGTATGCATCTTGGCCAAGAGGTCATTGCATTAAGGTCATGATATGTTTATAAAATTAATAATTGTAATATCTACAGGGCATATGTAACCATGTGTAATTTCTATGCTAGCGAAACATAGTGGATAAGTTGTTTTATGAATGATCAGTCTAATAGAGTTATTATGGTACATACATGTACAAGTTGTTGCGTTATGAAATAGTTCTACACTTAGCAATCACGGAGCGCATGTGATGCGGCTTAGAAAATAGTTCTGATTGTATTGTGCCATGCCCAGTGTTTATTTGTCACATTGATGAGTGACCTATTCTTTGTTCTGATTAATCTGTTTATTCTGCTTATTATCACGTGATTCATTCACGTTATTAGTCAATTTGAGATAATGGGTCGCGCGATCGCGGATTGAGAAGGAAGCTAAAAAGGAAAACCATGCAGGACAAGGAATTCACTGACGAGGGGACACGGTTGGAGAAACTGAAAGTCGCTGATTAAAAAGAGCACTTTCATCACTGGAAAGTTGCTGAATTGAAGTTGTGGGTACTTAAACTGTGAGACGGCATCACTCTGAATTGGATCGGACGATTTTCCGTGAGACTACTTGTCTCCGAATCCGGAAGTGGCAGTATTGCTGGACTGGCATTGTTTACATGTGAAGTTCGCATTCGCCCAGAAATCATCTATGAATGACATTGCCGTGAGTACCTCTTAATCACGAAGATTATCAATGAGTAACATTACCGTGAATACCTCTTAGTTTTAGTGCGACTATCGTTAACGAGTGACGTTACCGTGAATGCCTCGTGCTGTGTACGTTGTCAACAAGTGACAGTACCGTGTATTCCTCATATATATACTAGTATATTGTGTATATCGTCAATGAGTGACATTACTGTGTGAACCTTTTATCGTAAAGAAAGTGAATGAACAATCTACGCTCCGTTAATCTACTTATGACGATTTCAACGCATGGTCGAGACTTTATTTAAGTTAATATACCCTTCATCAACACTGTGCTCTACAACACATGAGTAAATACAACTCGTCCATATTCGCCAACCAGTGTGTGTATTAATCGTCAAAGTTGATCTAGAGGTCGGAGGCTATGCCTGAATTTGTTATGAGTGCGTGACCATTATGTGTATGACCGCGCGTGAACGTCGCCATTGCTGAACAACGCGTCGTGACATTATCGCCTTAGCAATGCCGAAGCACAGCCCTTGTTATTAGGACATCGTGGACATTGCATATAGTAGTGAACTCTTGTTGGTATATTCTGATACTCATAAACTCTTGTTTACTGTTGACTTTTGTTAATAATCATTGTGCATTATTGAAACTAAAATGTATGTTGAGGTTGCCCCATAGTATCACACCTGTACAGGAATTCATTTTCCCCATTTACATGCAAGGTTGAATAAATGCTATTGACCTTTGACCTATATCATATTAGTCTTGTTCTTGATCAATCCTTGTGGTGTGACGCTTCATTGCATTAATTTAGTTATCCAAATATCACATCGGTTGCCCTGTGCTACGTTTCTAAATTAATTTGGGGACTAGTGTCTTTTGTCAACTTGCTGACCAGAGAACCTACCTTACAAAATGGCGCCCAACGTGGACTGTGATATTTGTACACTTGGTGTGTGGGATAACATTGATGAAGTAGTAAGACCACCCACAAATATTGAATAAGAACGCAGATATTTATGCAAATATTTAGGTATTTATCCTGATGCGGAATACACTTGCTCGGATTACTGGTCTGCGGTCGTTCTTGTTGTATGTGTCAGGGGAGCATACGATTTGCATTTGGATTTTTCAGGTCTTCGTGGCTTTGAAGTTTGGATCTGACCCTGTTGTCTGCTGTGTACTGGAGACCTTGTGTTGCTGTGTCGTTGCCAAAACTTCTGATGACTGATAGGTATGTACATGTTCCTACTATAGGGGGAGATGATGTCCATGGGCCTGCTGATTATCATGGTAGCCATGATAATACTTTTCCGAAGGGTGCCACTCCCAAGACTGCTAGGGGGAGGGGGTACATGTTGTCTAGGTCTCTGTTAGCTGCCCGCGACCAAGATAACTGTGTTATGGGTGACCTGAATAATAAGGCGACAAAAATGCGCGAGTCAAGACCGAGATACCAAAATTGGAATACATGGAGACACCACGCGTACTGAGAGGCAGTGATGATCGGTTTGACATGCCAAACCAAGAAAGATCATGCAACGTGAATGGAGAGTGTGATGTACAACGGAAACTGCAAGTACACTACCCGCCTACTGATATGAGCACACCTTATAACAGACACACTGATGATGGGTCGATGCGTAGATGGGGTTATGGTTTGTCGCAGATTTCAAGAATAGCTACATTTAGCAGTGAGAAAAGTAAAGACACAGTCAGGTTTGAAGTATGGAAACACAAAGTGGAAAGACTGGTGTAACTTGGTTCATATGATGAGAAGATACTTATTCAAGCGGTTGAGAAATCACTGCGTGGTGATGCCACAAAGCAGTGATGTACCTGAACAACGCCACTGTAACTGAAATAGTAGAAAAATTAGATAGCATATATGGTAAGATAGAGTCAGGAACTGCACTACTCAGACGTTTTTACAACAGTCACCAAGAAGAGGGTGAGCCTGTTGCCGTGTATAGACCACGTATGGAGCGAATGATACATGCTGCGCGAGTTAGAGGAGCAGTCAATGAAGCTACAATAGATGGTATTTTGAAGGAGGCCTTTTTCAAAGGACTCAGAGATGAAGGGGTTCTTGAAATCACAAGGCCTCATAGGTGTGATACTTACCAGCAGTTGTTCATAGCTGCCCAAAATGCTGAACAAGAGAGACTGGACTGGGAGAATACGCGATCTCAGTTGAAAAAGGCACAACTGGGTAGAGCCCACCCTTCTATCAACTGTGATAATGCAGAAAACGATGCATGATGAGCGGAGTGCTAATCAACAAAAGGTTGAGGCCCTGCAGCAAGCAATACGCAACGAGCGACAGGCTGATCGGTTACAAATTGAATATCTACAGCAAGAAATTGCCAAGATGAACGTGAACCCTCCATTAGGGGCACAGAATGGTTCCCATGGTAATGTGAGTAGAAGGGAGTTCTATAAAACTGATCGTAGTGATAAACAGTCCAAGTCCTGGCGTGGTGGGAATGGTAACCATGGTCGCAGTAATGGTAAGTGTTACACATGTGGTTTGCAAGGACATTTTGCACGAGAATGCACTGCAAAATGTGATCGATGCCAAAAAGAGGGTCACTCTGCCAAGTACTGCCCAGACAATGGGAATTCAGCATCAAAAAGTACAGCCAAAGTTGGCACATCCAGAAGACAGACTCACAAAAAGCGGAAGGCTAAGGCTGCCACCATTGCAGCACCATGCAAGGTAGATGAGAAACTGTTGGGTACTTTGAACTTCGAGAATTCACAAGTGAATGGAGTAACCGGAAAATGTTTGGTGGATACTGGATCACAAATATCCTCTGTTTCAGAATCGTTTTACAGAGACAAACTTCATTGCATGCCATTTACCACCATGGAAGACTTTTTAGAAATCAGAAGAGTCACAGATGACGTGTTGCATTATATCAGTGTGGTGGAAGTCGATGCAGCATTTCCGGCCCGGGTATTTGGTGATGCAAGTGAGAAGTTAGTTCTAGCATTGGTCGTCCCAGATAATTCGTACACAAAGGAAGTGCCTATTACTGCAGGGACCAATTGGTTGAATAATTATGTATGCCAACGAGAAGGTAGGTCCAGGTAGTCGGAACAAGGTGACCAGAAGTTGTCGAACGTCTGCCATTGGTTGGGCAACAATGAAGACTCTGAACGCAAGACAACAATTCATGGTTTGGGAACAGTTCGTGCATTGCTACAGCAACCGTTAACGATACCACCACATAGAGCAGTAACAATCACAGGCAGAATGAAGCCAGGGCCCCCGGGCGATAAAATGGAAGTGTCGGTTGAGCCTGAAGGGAAATGGAGTGAGCTTGGCGGATGGGTGTTGGATCCCATGGTGGTGACAGTTGAGTGCGGCAGACGAAAATCCAAGGTACCACTGGTAGTGTGCACAATGAATCACCCAAACCC